TCAATAAAAAATGATTTGTTGACTTTGACTTCTTAGTTGCTACATTTATAGAGTACCGAAGCTGGGACATCAGAAAATTCTTTTTTTGGAATTTCTTTATGTTTTCTTCATTTTCTGAAAGAGCATAATGTCCAATTGTGGAAAGACAATGGAATATGTTAAGTATTGGCTGAAATATAACCATCTGATTAGATTTCCTATAGGAACTCGGAGTTATATTGCTCTGGCTCATAATGTTACGAACCAGAGCAATATAACACTGAGTTCCTATAGGAAATCTATTTATTCAGATGGTCGTATCTCAGCCAATACTTAACATATTCAAATGGTTTTCAACATGTGGACATTATTTTTGATGCTCTTTTAGAAAAATGAAGAAAAAAATTGAGAAATTCCAAAAATAGATTTTTTTTTTTAATGATGTCACACTTCACCGCTCTATTGCAAAGCTGTTGTTATCAGTACGTTGTCCTCTCGATATCTCTCTCCCTGTCTTTGCCTCGATGCTCTCTCTCTCTCTTTCTCGTCTCCTTGTTCTCATGACACAGTAAATTGCAACGTTTTAACGTATCATGTGAACAAGCCTTTAAAGGCCCACTGCACTAGTTATAGCTTCTTGCGCCCTCTATATAACAAACAACGCATAATCGGTGATCATTGGTCCCCCATGATCCTCTTTTTCTTATGTTATTTGAGAGCTGATTTGATGAGATAGCCACCTGTCCAGTGACCTTGCAGTGTGGTCTAATCCCTCCTCTACACTTGTACTGATGGGCTTTAAACATATCATTTGTGCAATGTGTCTGCATTCATAATAATGTCACATTTGACAGATGTCCGGCTATTGCTTAAACTCCCTTATGTTTTCCTTTTTGAATGCATTTATGTTTTTATAATATATAAACCATGTAGTGCAAAGTCGGTGTTTGTAAATATTGTACAAGTGTAAAATTTTATGATAGCGATTGTTTTCTGTGTATACGTACAAAGTCACAAGTATAAGCTTTCGTGTCATTTCCAATGGTCTACCATTTGTACCTAGAAACAGGACAGTTATCAAACAAATTATGATTGATGATGATTTGTTTCTTTTTCTTGAAATAATTCTAGAGTACTTATGATCATAAAGTCACTAGTATTTATTCCTTTACTTGGTGAAAAAAGGAAATTACAAAATAGGTAATTTTGTGGTAAATGATTATCAAAGTAAAGTTATTTGACATTTCATGAATTTTAGTTTCCTTCGTTCTTTTGTTAAGGATTTCATGAAAGGAAGTGAAGTGCGGTGCAAAAAGATATTTGGTTGATGGTTATAGAACTGCTTGTTTGTTAAATATCAGCCAATAGATTCATTTGTTACAGAGTTGTTTGATTGGTAATTACTTGATTGGTTGCAGGCGCGGATCCAGGATTTCTTGGGGGGGGGGGGGGCAAATTTGAAATCATGTGAGCCAAATATATATATTTATTTTATTTTATTTTATTTCTGCATTTTTTTCAAATAAGATATAACTAAATAACAAAGAACATAATATACATGTCAAAATGTTGTTTTTTTTTTTACATAATATATGTACATATAATAACAAAACTTATTATTTCCATAACAATATTATCATAAATTTAAAGTATTATCCGAACTATTCTGTTGGAAAAGTGCAGGAGACCGCAATCATAAGCAAAGCTTGACAAGGATGGCGGCCTAAAAAAAAAAAAAAAATCATGTGAGCCAAATATTGGTACGTAGTGGTGACTAGATTTAATTGGTTAAATATTTGCCTGGTTGAGCTATTGTTTGTTAGTTAACTAGTTGAATGATTGGTTGAGTAGTTTATTTGTTAGTCGGCCTATATAGATATATTGGTTAAATGAATAACTAGTGATTGGTTACTGGTGGAATGGTTAATCGAGGTGTTGTGGACTAGTGGATAAGCCACCCGACTGCAGATCACAAGGTACGGGGTTCAAGTCCCGATGCGGCTCTAATGTCCTTTAGCAAAGACGTTAATCTACATTTGCACTCTCCAGCGCTAGTTACTTTGGCAGCTCGGCTATAATCAGGGTGATATGTGTAAAGCGCCCATTAGTGTCAGAGAATGACGGATACCGGTGCTATATAAATAACCGTATTATTTATACAAAAGTGAGCACACACACACACACACACACACACACATTTGGGTAGCCTTTCATCGGATATTGATTGATAAATTAGACCTATAATATAATAATTTTTATCTTTGTTTAATACCGGCAAACGTTAATGTCATGTCATAATCATACTGGCTATAACCTGTTCCATGTTGTCTCAATTTTGAACGGGGTGACGTTAGATAAAAAGCCAGAAGTTCATTTTTTTCTTTGCACAATACTTAAATGTTATTTATGCCTTTGGTTGAGCATATAGAAAGTAAAACCATCCGGTGTTTGATTTATCCCTCTCTACAATTCATTCCACTGATAACGACATTTTATTTCTTCTCGAAATGAAAGAGTTCAATACTTTGTTTGACTAGTTGTAAAGAGATAAGCCATGAAGTCTCTTTTACTTCGTAAATTTTGTTTTGTCACAAACTGAATAACAAAGAGGATTCATGGAGTTTACACACGCACAATGGTACACCCTTCAATACTTCACGCGATGCAAAAACAGGCGCCACATTATCAAAAGGGGAATTCCAAAAGAATTTAACTCTAAGAATACCAGGCAGAATAATGTACGGGATTTACGTGTACAGTGTCTGTATAAAAGTGCTGTAATGGCACAGTATGGGTTATGATCGCAAAATTGTGCATGAAATCACATCCAAGCATGAAAAAACACAATTGATCTACAGTAGACTTGAAAGGTGTTTTGCACTATTTCCAAACAATGTACATATTTGCCTTTCATGATGGAATCATAGATAATAAAGTACGGTAACCTTTTACTGAGATGCAACATACATCAAGTAAGCTGGGTAATAAATAAGTTCAGAAGGCTTTAATTTGCTTAATATTGACATTGGTATTTGACGAAGGGAAAAGACGTTCTTCACTGTGAACAGGTCAAAATTCAAAAGCATTTGCAACAATCGGCCTATTTACTACAATACTTAGCAGTGTTGAGCACAAAACTTTCCAAAGTGAATGTATGTAACCATATTGACCATTGAAGTGGAAGAAGATGACTAATGCAATAGTGTTTAAAGTGATTAAAATTGTCCATGAATTTTCACACGAGTCTGTTACATTGTGTGTAATATATGCATTAACAATTTTAATCGAGGCAATGCCGTGATAACCTCAATGTCATATCATATGAAATTAATGTACCGGCAGGCGCGTACGCCGGGGGGGGGGGGGGGGGTTAAACCCCCCCCCTTTGGTTTTTTTAATGTGTGTATTTAAAAAAAAAAATTATGCCAAATTATTAAAATTATGCCAATGGCTGACCTAAAACAAGTGCCCTTACCCCCCCCCCCTTACGGAGCAAAATGTCAAATTTTCAAACTTCGAGACTCCCCCCCCTCCCCCCAAAGAAAAATGTCCTCTTACCCCCCCCCCCCCCCCCCCTCTTGAAAAAAAACCTGCGTACGCCACTGGGTACCGGAATATAATCTTGCAGCTCAATGGCTGCAAGAAGCCTGGGTGCATGGAGTGGGTGCAGACGTCGAATTATATCGATAGAAAACACATATTCAGTCAGGGAAGGAATATCTTTCTTCCACCGTAATCTATTTAATCGTGTCTACAATGGTACCGAGTTTTACGGGTCAAACAAGAAATGCGTTCATGAGTTTTTACCTGTAGCTTTAAATAGAATCTTCCCACTAAATGCAAAGTCCCGAGCAATTTTGTTGGCCTTTCCGTCCGAGGGGAAGGGGGGGGGGGGGAGAGCCTGTTTTGATCCTTTCTGCCTTCTCAGTTCGATATTTAACTGTGCATCGCGGTAAATAGGGATACATAATTGACAAATTCATGTGTACCTCAATCCGGCGAAGCAGGTTAATGTTTTGAGAAAAGCCTTCTAGGTGGCCTAGACTGGGACTGAGAAGTAATGCCTTACTTAAGGGCACTTCTACACCGCGTTGGCTTCTTTTTAACAGGGACTTGCATAAATAAGACAATAGGCATGCACCCTCCATGTGCTACAATGCAACGGATAAATACGGTTGACTTGAAATAATTCACCATCATTATCTTCAACTCCATTATATGACGGCCATAACCATTTAAATACTGTATGCTCCATCATCGTCATCGTAGTTATCATATCAGTCCGATATCAGTCGGACATTTGTCCCAAGCTTCACTGCATTTCTATTACCAACCATATACTTAGTGCCATAATCAGCGTTAATATTTGCTTTGTTCATGAGTAATTAAATTATCAAAGGTTAGGAATCAGCGTGTTCCACGCATAGTAAGTAATTTAATTTCGAGATACGTCATTAGGCGGCAAATGCTTCTTCACTACAAATTGTGTCATGAAAAACATGGAATGTTTCTTCTAATTGGGCTTGACGCTATCCCTCCTTGAAAATATTTCGTCGTAGTTTCACGTGAATGTGTGTCTCCGTGAAAGAGACGAACAGAACAAACATTTCCACCATTTATTTTAGAGTGAAAGGGAAGGGAAGGGGTTGTTAAAAAAAATGCACTCGCTTTATAATTATTGAAACGTCGATGATTGCCAAAAAATAGAAAAATAAAAGAGGAGGAAAGAGCGAGGCTAACAGTGAAATAGGAATAACAGATATACGAATAACGATTTAGTTCACTGCACAGGACTTTGGAACGTGTTGGAAACGATATAAAAAAAACCTGTACATTGCGAAAAAAAAGGGAACCCAGCGTGGTGTATGTGTATGGTTATGCCTGTGACACGCAAAATGCAACGGGACTATCTGCTACACGAATTTGACAATTTTAGATTGTTAATCGTAATCGTAACATTCCGAAGTCGAACGTTAATTAAGAGAGAAGAAGAACATTACAAGGAACTATGCTAGATTACGATGTTTGGTAAACAGGTGCTCCTTCAAGTATGGAGGACAGAAATCAACATCTTCACGAGGCAGGATTGAGGGGTAAAATCAAAAGCTTCAGAAATCTGCTAAGGAAGGGTTATAACATATAACGGACATACAAAGATGGAAACACACGTTTACAATGCGGTGAAGAAACGCCATAGAACCTTCATTAAGTATCTCATAAACCAAGGTGCTGAGATAGAGAAGGGGAATAATGACGGTTGGACTGCATTACACAGTGCTGCTCAGAAGGGTCATCTTGATGTCACCATATCTCTCATCAGTCAAGGAGCTGAGGTGAATAAGGGAGATAATGACGGCTGGACTGCATTACACGTGGCTGCTCTGAAAGGTCATCTTGATGTCACTAAATATCTCATCAGTCAAGAAGCGGATGTGAATAAGGGAGATAATGAAGGTGAGACTGCTCTACAGATGGCTGCTTTCAATGGTCATCTTGATGTCACTAAATATCTCATCAGTCAAGAAGCGGATGTGAATAAGGGAGATAATGACGGCTGGACTGCATTACACGTGGCTGCTCTGAAAGGTCATCTTGATGTCACTAAACATCTCATCAGTCAAGAAGCGGATGTGAATAAGGGTACTAATGAAGGTGAGACTGCTCTACACATGAATGCTTACAAAGGTCATCTTGATGTCACCAAATATCTCATCAGTCAAGGAGCTGATGTGGATAAGGAAGATAATGCAGGTAAGACTGCTCTAAACAAGGCTGCTTTCAATGGTCGGCTTGATGTCACCAAATATCTCATCAGTCAAAAAGCTGATGTAAATAAAGAAGATAATGCAGGTGCGACTGCTCTAAACAGTGCTACTTTCAAAGGCCATCTTGATGTCATCACATATCTCATCAGTCAAGAAGCTGATGTGAATAAGGGAAATAATAAAGATTGGACTGCATTACACTATGCTGCTTTCATTGGTCATCCCGATGTCATGAAATATCTGATCAGTCAAGGAGCTGATGTGAATAAGGGAGATAATACCGGTAGGACTGCACTACACAGGGCTGCTCAGGTGGGTCATCTTGATGTCATCACATATCTCATCAGTCAAGAAGCTGATGTGCATAAAGGAAATAAATACGGTTCGACTGCACTACACATGGCTGCTCAGGAGGGTCATCTTGATGTCATCAAATATCTCGTCAGTCAAGGAGCTGAGGTGAATGAGGTAGATAATGACGGTGGGACTGCACTACACGAGGCTGTCATTAATGGTCATCTTGATGTCATCAAATATCAAATCAGTCAAGGAGCAGATGTGAATAAGGGAGATAATGGCGGTAGGACTGCACTACATGTGGCTGCTCAGGAAGGTAATATTGATGTCACCAAATATCTCATCAGTCAAGGAGCTGATCTGGATAAGGAAGATAATGCAGGTAAGACTGCTCTAAACAAGGCTGCTTTCAATGGTCGGCTTGATGTTACCAAATATTTGATCAGTCAAGGAGATGAGGTGAATAAGGGAAATAAGACAGGTTGGACTGCATTACACATATCTGCCGTTAGGGGTCATCTTGATGTCACGAAATATCTCATCAGTCAAGAAGCGGATGTGAATAAAGGAGATAATGCCGGTAGGACTGCACTACACAAGGCTGCTCAGGAGGGTCATCTTGATGTCATCACATATCTCATCAGTCAAGGAGCTGATGTGAATAAAGAAGATAATGCAGGTGCGACTGCTCTACACAGTGCTGCTTTCAATGGCCATCTTGATGTCATCACATATCTCATCAGTCAAGGAGCTGAGGTGAACAAAGAAGATAATTCAGGTGCGACTGCCCTATACAAGGCTGTTCAGGAGGGTCATCTTGATGTCATCACATATCTCATCAGTCAAGGAGCTGATGTGAATAAAGAAGATAATGCAGGTGCGACTGCTCTACTCAGGGCTGCTTTCAATGGCCATCTTGATGTCATCACATATCTCATCAGTCAAGGAGATGAGGTGAATAAGGGAAATAAGACAGGTGTGACTGCTCTACACAGTGCTGCTTTCAATGGTCATCCCGATGTCATGAAATATCTGATCAGTCAAGGAGCTGATGTGAATAAGGGAGATGATTCCGGTAGGACTGCACTACATGTGGCTGCTCAGGAAGGTAATATTGATGTCACCAAATATCTCATCAGTCAAGGAGCTGATGTGGATAAGGAAGATAATGCAGGTAAGACTGCTCTACACAGTGCTGCTTTCAATGGTCATCCCGATGTCATGAAATATCTGATCAGTCAAGGAGCTGATGTGAATAAGGGAGATAATGCCGGTAGGACTGCACTACATGTGGCTGCTCAGGAAGGTAATATTGATGTCACCAAATATCTCATCAGTCAAGGAGCTGATGTGGATAAGGAAGATAATGCAGGTAAGACTGCTCTAAACAAGGCTGCTTTCAATGGTCGGCTTGATGTCACCAAATATCTAATCAGTCAAGGAGCTGATGTGAATAAAGAAGATAATGCAGGCGCGACTGCTCTACACAGTGCTGCTCTCAATGGCCATCTTGATGTCATCACATATCTCATCAGTCAAGGAGATGAGGTGAATAAGGGAAATAAGACAGGTTGGACTGCATTACACATATCTGCCGTTAGGGGTCATCTTGATATCACGAAATATCTCATCAGTCAAGAAGCGGATGTGAATAAGGGAGATAATGCCGGTAGGACTGCACTACACAAGGCTGCTCAGGAGGGTCATCTTGATATCATCACATATCTGATCAGTCAAGGAGCTGATGTGAATAAAGAAGATAATGCAGGTGCGAATGCTCTACACAGTGCTGCTTTCAATGGCCATCTTGATGTCATCACATATCTCATCAGTCAAGGAGATGAGGTGAATAAGGGAAATAAGACAGGTTGGACTGCATTACACATATCTGCCGTTAGGGGTCATCTTGATGTCACGAAATATCTCATCAGTCAAGAAGCGGATGTGAATAAGGGAGATAATGACGATTGGACTGCATTACACTATGCTGCTCCGAGCGGGCATCTTGATGTCACCAAATATCTCATCAGTCAAGGAGCTGATGTGGATAAGGAAGATAATGCAGGTAACACTGCTCTAACTAGGGCTGCTTTGAATGGTCGGCTTGATGTCACCAAATATCTGATCAGTCAAGGAGCTGATGTGAATAAAGAAGATAATGCAGGTGAGACTGCTCTACACATGGCTGTTTTCAATGGCCATCTTGATGTCATCACATATCTCATCAGTCAAGGAGATGAGGTGAACAAAGAAAATAATTCAGGTGCGACTGCCCTATACAAGGCTGTTCAGGAGGGTCATCTTGATGTCATCACATATCTCATCAGTCAAGGAGCTGATGTGAATAAAGAAGATAATGCAGGTGCGACTGCTCTACACAGGGCTGCTCTCAATGGCCATCTTGATGTCATCACATATCTCATCAGTCAAGGAGCTGAGGTGAACAAAGAAGATAATTCAGGTGCGACTGCCCTATACAAGGCTGTTCAGGAGGGTCATCTTGATGTCATCACATATCTCATCAGTCATGGAGCTGAGGTGAACAAAGAAGATAATTCAGGTGCGACTGCCCTATACAAGGCTGTTCAGGAGGGTCATCTTGATGTCATCACATATCTCATCAGTCAAGGAGCTGATGTGAATAAAGAAGATAATAAAGGTGCGACTGCTCTACACAGGGCTGCTTTCAATGGCCATCTTGATGTCATCACATATCTCATCAGTCAAGGAGATGAGGTGAATAAGGGAAATAAGACAGGTTGGACTGCATTACAATTATCTGCCGTTAGGGGTCATCTTGATGTCACGAAATATCTCATCAGTCAAGAAGCGGATGTGAATAAGGGAGATGATTCCGGTAGGACTGCACTACACAAGGCTGTTCAGGAGGGTCATCTTGATGTCATCACATATCTCATCAGTCAAGTAGCTGATGTAAATAAAGAAGATAATGCAGGTGTGACTGCTCTACACAGTGCTGCTTTCAATGGTCATCCCGATGTCATGAAATATCTGATCAGTCAAGGAGCTGATGTGAATAAGGGAGATAATGCCGGTAGGACTGCACTACACAAGGCTGCTCAGGTGGGTCATCTTGATGTCATCACATATCTCATCAGTCAAGAAGCGGATGTGAATAAGGGAGATAATGCCGGTAGGACTGCACTACACAAGGCTGCTCAGGAGGGTCACCTTGATGTCATCACATATCTGATCAGTCAAGGAGCTGATGTGAATAAAGAAGATAATGCAGGTGCGAATGCTCTACACAGTGCTGCTTTCAATGGCCATCTTGATGTCATCACATATCTCATCAGTCAAGGAGATGAGGTGAATAAGGGAAATAAGACAGGTTGGACTGCATTACACATATCTGCCGTTAGGGGTCATCTTGATGTCACGAAATATCTCATCAGTCAAGAAGCGGATGTGAATAAGGGAGATAATGACGATTGGACTGCATTACACTATGCTGCTCCGAAAGGTCATCTTGATGTCACCAAATATCTTATCAGTCAAGGAGCTGATGTGGATAAGGAAGATAATGCAGGTAACACTGCTCTAACTAAGGCTGCTTTGAATGGTCGGCTTGATGTCACCAAATATCTGATCAGTCAAGGAGCTGATGTGAATAAAGAAGATAATGCAGGTGCGACTGCTCTACACATGGCTGCTTTCAATGGCCATCTTGATGTCATCGCATATCTCATCAGTCAAGGAGCTGAGGTGAACAAAGAAAATAATTCAGGTGCGACTGCCCTATACAAGGCTGTTCAGGAGGGTCATCTTGATGTCATCACATATCTCATCAGTCAAGGAGCTGATGTGAATAAAGAAGATAATGCAGGTGCGACTGCTCTACACAGGGCTTCTCTCAATGGCCATCTTGATGTCATCACATATCTCATCAGTCAAGGAGCTGAGGTGAACAAAGAAGATAATTCAGGTGCGACTGCCCTATACAAGGCTGTTCAGGAGGGTCATCTTGATGTCATCACATATCTCATCAGTCAAGGAGCTGATGTGAATAAAGAAGATAATGCAGGTGCGACTGCTCTACACAGGGCTGCTTTCAATGGCCATCTTGATGTCATCACATATCTCATCAGTCAAGGAGATGAGGTGAATAAGGGAAATAAGACAGGTTGGACTGCATTACAATTATCTGCCGTTAGGGGTCATCTTGATGTCACGAAATATCTCATCAGTCAAGAAGCGGATGTGAATAAGGGAGATGATTCCGGTAGGACTGCACTACACAAGGCTGTTCAGGAGGGTCATCTTGATGTCATCACATATCTCATCAGTCAGGTAGCTGATGTGAATAAAGAAGATAATGCAGGTGTGACTGCTCTACACAGTGCTGCTTTCAATGGTCATCCCGATGTCATGAAATATCTGATCAGTCAAGGAGCTGATGTGAATAAGGGAGATAATGCCGGTAGGACTGCACTACACAAAGCTGCTCAGGTGGGTCATCTTGATGTCATCACATATCTCATCAGTCAAGAAGTGGATGTGAATAAGGGAGATAATGCCGGTAGGACTGCACTACACGAGGCTGTCATTAATGGTCATCTTGATGTCATCAAATATCAAATCAGTCAAGGAGCAGATGTGAATAAGGGAGATAATGGCGGTAGGACTGCACTACATGTGGCTGCTCAGGAAGGTAATATTGATGTCACCAAATATCTCATCAGTCAAGGAGCTGATATGGATAAGGAAGATAATGCAGGTAAGACTGCTCTAAACAAGGCTGCTTTCAATGGTCGGCTTGATGTCACCAAATATCTGATCAGTCAAGGAGCTGATGTGAATAAAGAAGATAATGCAGGTGCGACTGCTCTACACAGTGCTGCTCTCAATGGCCATCTTGATGTCATCACATATCTCATCAGTCAAGGAGATGAGGTGAATAAGGGAAATAAGACAGGTTGGACTGCATTACACATATCTGCCGTTAGGGGTCATCTTGATGTCACGAAATATCTCATCAGTCAAGAAGCGGATGTGAATAAGGGAGATAATGCCGGTAGGACTGCACTACACAAGGCTGCTCAGGAGGGTCATCTTGATGTCATCACATATCTGATCAGTCAAGGAGCTGATGTGAATAAAGACGATAATGCAGGTGCGAATGCTCTACACAGTGCTGCTTTCAATGGCCATCTTGATGTCATCACATATCTCATCAGTCAAGGAGATGAGGTGAATAAGGGAAATAAGACAGGTTGGACTGCATTACACATATATGCCGTTAGGGGTCATCTTGATGTCACGAAATATCTCATCAGTCAAGGAGCTGATGTGGATAAGGAAGATAATGCAGGTAAAACTGCTCTAACTAAGGCTGCTTTCAATGGTCGGCTTGATGTCACCAAATATCTGATCAGTCAAGGAGCTGATGTGAATAAAGAAGATAATGCAGGTGCGACTGCTCTACACAGTGCTGCTCTCAATGGCCATCTTGATGTCATCACATATCTCATCAGTCAAGGAGCTGATGTGAATAAAGAAGATAATGCAGGTGCGACTGCTCTACACAGTGCTGCTTTCAATGGCCATCTTGATGTCATCACATATCTCATCAGTCAAGGAGATGATGTGAATGAGGGAGATAATGACGGTCGGACTGCATTACACTATGCTGCTCTGGAAGGTCATCTTGATGTCACTAAATATCTCATCAGTCAAGAAGCGGATGTGAATAAGGGAGATAAAGAAGGTGTGACTGCTCTACACATGGCTGCTTTCAATGGTCATCTTGATGTCACGATATCTCTCATCAGTCAAGGAGCTGATGTGAATATAGGAAATTATGCAGGTTGGACTGTATTACAAAAATCTGCCTCGAGGGGTCATCTTGATGTCACTAAATATCTCATCAGTCAAGAAGCGGATGTGAATAAGGGAGATAATGCCGGTTGGACTCCACTGCACAAGGCTGCTCAGGAGGGTCATTTTGATGTCATCACATATCTCATCAGTCAAGAAGCTGATGTGAATAAGGGAGATAATGCCGGCAGGACTGCATTACACACTGCTTACAAGGAGGGCCATCTTGATGTCATCAAATATCTCATCAGTCAAGAAGCTGATGTGAATAAGGGAGATAATGCCGGCAGGACTGCATTACACATTGCTTCCCAGAAGGGTCATCTTGATGTCACCAAATATCTCATCAGTCAAGGAGCTGATGTGAATAAGGGAGATAATGCCGGCAGGACTGTATTACACATTGCTTCCCAGAAGGGTCATCTTGATGTCACCAAATATCTCATCAGTCAAGGAGCTGATGGGAATAAGGGAGATAATGACGGTAGGACTGCATTACAAATTGCTGCCTTTGCCGGTCATCTAGACGTCATCAAATATCTCATCAGTCAAGAAGCTGATGTGAATGAGGGAGATAATGACGGTAGGACTGCATTACAAATTGCTGCCTTTACCGGTCATCTAGACGTCATCAAATATCTCATCACCCAAGAAGCTGAGGTGAACAAAGGAGATAATGATTGTATGACTCCTCTACACCATGCTGTTCAAAATGGTAGTCTTGATGTCGTTAAAGTCCTTCTGGCAGGAGGAGCACTTTCTGACACAGGAGACATTAATGGGTGGACACCTCTACACCTGTCTTCATCCCTAGGGTACCAAAGCATCGCTGACTTATTCATCGACCGTTCAAATTACAAGGTAAAATAATAAAAAACACTTCATGTCGAATTCATCTACCTTGATGTATTTAATACATGCATGTAGAATAACAAGTACTGAAATTCATTAAAGCGAATATTAGTCATATTAGGCTACCTTATTTGTTCAGACTTGACCAATTCGATTTTGTTTAGCCAATAATAACCATACGTAATTATAACACTAGTTAGACTTCAATGCTGTTTTGTATGTACTTTATAGATACAATTTTTGTTTAAAATGAATTTGAATTATTGGTTTAATTGATCGCATGGCAGTACTTGTGTTCACAGAAATTTTGCTTTCCTAGCATTACAAAAATATAATCTTAAGCTCTCATGCTGCGTATTTTCTCATTTCCAGCTCGCCCAGAATGATTTAAATGATATCCATCTTGCCATACAACACGGTCACACTTCCATCATTGAGAAGTTAGTTTCTGAGGGAGCTGATCTCAATGTCCAGTCAACTGACGGCCAGACGTGTCTGCATGAAGCCATTATACTCTGCTATAAGAGCGCGAACATCGTGCATAAAACTGACACTCTAAGAAAGGTGAGTCATACCAAAAGAACTGAAAAATAGGTAAAACGTACGCTCATCTTAATGCCTAGATTACATTTGCCCCGGGCGCCGTACGATAAATTAGTCTACGGTATTTCGTGCGATTTGGGGGCCATCGTAGGAGGCTGCGGGCTACGATGTTTAAGTTTACATTATCTACGAGCATCGTGGCATTTCTTGTATAGGCCCTCGGGGGCAGGCCGGGGCAAATCCGTACAGAGGATGCTTGAAGATTGTACGGAAATCGTGCAATCACAGTGCAGTAGCCGTGCAGTCTCCGCAGCCTCCGCACGAAAATCGTATGGATCCCGTGCAGCTTCCCCCGCAGAGGTTGCGCAAAGCAGGTGCGGTGACCGTGCAACCGCCGTGCCTTTTTTGAGCGTTTGTTTGCCCCCATGTTCATCAAAAATCGTGCGTTTGCTGCACTATCAGAGCGAGTCCTCCGCTCGATGCCCGTACGAGGATTGTAAAATGCCACCTACGACATGGCTTTGATTTTTTTTTGAAAAATCTTTAGCCTGTTGTCCGTAGACATGTCGTAAGTGTCATGGCACGATCCCCGCACGGGCATCGCGCGGAGGACTCGCGCTGATTGTGCAGCAAACGCACGATTTTTCGGTGAACATGTAGCCCCCAAAACGCTTTAAAACGGCAGGGCAGCTGCACGGTCGCCGCGCCATCTCCGCGCAACCTTGGCACGGAAGCTGCACGGGCTCCGTAAGATTTCCCTGCGGAGGCTGCGGAGACTGCACGGCTACTGCATTGAAATTGCATGATTTCCGTACAATTAAAAATAACATACTAAAAGTCCTCGTATATCCTCCTTGAGCGTGTTCCGTAATCCAAGATGGCGTGTAAAATGGCCGCCATTTCCTGATTTTCTTATAACTTTGCAGCTAGATAACCCAAATACCAAATTTAAATGTCTAAATAAATGTTTTTCAGCATAAGTAAACTCAACCAAATACTTATCAATACATTTTGAAAAACACAAGTGGCAGTAAAACCACTTGAGCCCTTTTCGAAATCAAAATGGCGTCCAAAATGGCCATTATTTCGAATTTATCTCACTGTATTAAAGTAGGTGCGTTATGAATACAATCAAATGTCTATATTAGAAAAGCACTATTGTAATACATATAAGTACAAATAAACCTTTCATTCAATAATTAAATATTTCTTATACATAACGTATACACACCCACCCACCCACCCACACACACATGCACACATATGGCTGCTTCCATAAGACTGACAGCGTGCAAACCTTGAAGAGTACTCAACGTTAGATGGAACTGAAAATGGAGACACATTAGTACCAATTACTGTCGCAAAGGCAAAAGTCATAAGGTTTCAAACAGGAAATGCACCTCAATAAGCACATGCCATGTCATCTCTGCTAGTAGACCAGGTCGATTCTGTCGCCAATATTGTTGGAATGGCTTCGTATAAACACCGGAAGTGTGGCTCTTGGAACAGATAGACATCTTGAGCTGAGGAACATGAGCTTTGTCCTGCATGGATTGGTTTCATGAAAGTGGCCATGCAGAGTGACCAGTACGAGAATTGAAACTCTGCCCTTCATAATACCTCTCCAATCCGAGTACCATCTACACGGCACTATACTTCGCACAGTCACAATGTGAAAAAACATAGAACTTAAGAATATGTGCAGTAACATTTAACCAGCCCTCGTACATCAAGGCAGCAGAGATTGTAGCTTCTTCTCAAGACCTAGGAAAAGTAATCGTCCGTTTTGGTGGATTTCACCTCCTCATGTCATATCTCGGCAGCATATAGTCTACGTCATGGGCAGAAGTATGCTTGAAGAGCTGGCTTATCTGTTAACTGTGATTAACCTGTACAAATTGGCCTAGTAGCGGCATCTGAAACGAATGCATGGTAGGAAGTTTACATAATTCAAGCTACGTACATCGTAAGGACAAGGTGAAGACCATTGGTGCCAAGAGTAAGAGAGTGAAAATCAAGGGACAAAGCACATAAGTCAACCCAACACTACTGTTCAACAGAATAACATGTGTCCAGAATAACAACACTGAGATGGAATCGGTCTTTGCTTATGAACATATTCCCACGCACTTTCCCTTTCAAAGGTGGGGTGATGCGGAAGCCAACAAAGAGTTCTCTGGGTCTCCTGCTTCGTTCTCCAAGCAATCCAACGTGCCAGAAATGGTCTCTTTGTTTAAGATGGTGGTCGCCTACTGCGCCCTTAAGCATTATGGAGCTCATTTGACGGTGGTGTTCGATGGATATGGAAGTGCAACTTCGACAAAGGTAGCTGAGCAGAGACGAATAGCCCAAAGATGTACCTCTTTATTTTGATGATAATATATTATATGCCAACAAGCACAACCCAAAACAGCTTTCCTTGCCAACATCAACAATAAGATGAGACTTATACAACCTCTACGTGACAAAATACGTACCGGTATCAAGCAGACAGATGCGGATGCCACTAACCTGATTGTCTCTACAGCACAAGCAGTAGAACAGGTGCCCGTTGTTGTCGTTGGTAAGAACACAGATTTACTGGTCATGCTAGTTGCTCCGGCCAGGCTCCGGCAACCACTTCCACAGATATGCACATGCTATGCCGCAGAATCCTGTCACGGTCTTCAACATTCATGAAATTCAGCATGCCATAGGGGACACTAGAAATAACCTGATGTTTCTTTAAGCTGTGACAGGGTGTGGTACGGTCTCTGCAATCTACCGTCAGGGCAGTCGTAAAACTTTCAATATGGTCCTCAAGAAACTTGACTATGGCTTGCTTGATACATTCGCAGTGGAAGCACCCATGATGAGGTAAAAAAAAGAGCCTGAAAAGCCTTTATGGGGCCTGCAGTTCTTGATGACTACCGTCACACTGCATACAATTAAGCATACAACATCCATACCGCACCTCTGACAGTCATTATGTATAAAAAGCTTTAGCGACCTTGGTACTAATGTGTCTACATTTTAAGTTCCATCTAATGTTGAGTACTCTTCACGGTTGCACACTGTCAGTCTGATATCGTTGAGGATGATGGAAGCAGCCATATGTGTTTGTTGGTGTGTGTGTGTGTGTGTACTTTATGCATAAGAAGTATTTTTTAATTAAAAGATTGTTGTACTGATATGTATTTCAATGGTGCTTTTCTAGTCTAGACATTTGATTATATTCATTACGTATCTACTTACAATGAGATAAATTGGGAAATAATGGCCATTTTGGGTGCCATTTTGGATTTCGGGAAGGGCTCAAGTGGTTTTACTGATACTAACCCTTGTGTGTTTCAAAATTTGTAAATAACTATTTTGTTGAGTTCCTTATGCTGAAAAACATATATTTAGACATTTAAATTTGGTATTTGGGTTATCTAGTTGCAAAGTTAGAAGAAATACAGGAAATGGTGGCAATTTTGGGCGCCATTTTGGATTTCGAAAAGGGCTAAAAGTGGTTTATAGCTACTTGTGTGTTTAAGAATTTATCAACATGTATTTTATTGAGTTCCTTATGCTAAAAAACATATATTTAGACATTTAAATTTTGTATTTGGGTTATCTAGTTCAAAGCTATAAGAAATTCAGTACATGGCGGCCATTTTGGACGCCATCTTGGATTGCGGAAAACGCTCAAAGAGGATTTATGAGGACTTTTAGTATGTTAATCTAGACATATTCCTGGACCTTTCCTGAAAAAATCAGCTTGTTACCAAAAATGTCCATGTTAAAACTAATGCTCTTGGCCTATTAGTTCTCTATCTTTTCAGCTAGCAAAGCCCAATTGACTATGCGCATATTGACACAGTTCAATTCTATTCTGATCTTTTATGTAGGGCCATCTATATTATGCTATCATTTTAGATTCACTTGTAATTTTGAAGCTGGCTTTCAAGACCAAAAAAAAAAAGAAGAAGAAGCTTTTTTTTTATTTTTTAAAGATCCTCTTTCAAGGTAGGCCTACTACACAGCATATTATAAGGGGGGGGGGCGTGATTATTTATGTGTTTACTTGTAACGGTTTATTGATAAGAAATCAGAGGGCCGAATTGCAATTATCTTACATTCATGGTGATAGATAAGAATACGTTGTAAAATGATTCAACAGAAAGGAAAATATTTAAATCACAATATTTATTAAATTACAACATGTTACAAGACAATTGCAGGAATTACATGGTTTGAAAATAAGAGGATTACCAAATCGAATTCACCCCCATAAAAAGACAAAAG